ATAACCATTGTAATTTCAGGTAGTCTGCAGCCAATGAGAACCTGTGAAATAGAATAATATGGAATTACTGACTATTACAGTGCCCAAGTTTTACACATATATTAAATTAGGTGCAACAATACAACAAATGCTGAAAATTCCATTCTATATTTTTGAGAATAAAGCAAACCATCAATTTTATTATTATGTCGTAGAATTCCTAGCATAAAATCTTATATATAACTCCATCTGGTCCCATCTATCTGATGAAGTGCAATCAGAGAGTTATGTATAAAGAAGGTTTTCAGAATCTCTGACAAGGTGATATTCTCGTCAGTTTCTGCCATGAGTTCAAGTATCTAGCTGTATAGTCCAGAATGTAACATTAACCCAACGCGTGCAAATACACATATACAGTAAAAAAAAATGATTCATTACAATGTATGTATGACCTGTCTTGCATTAAAACGAACCATCAACAACAACAACAATAAAGGACACGTCATCAATAGTACTATTATAACTCTGAGGATCTCTGAGGATTACTCTGTCACGTAATAAAGTCATAAATTTGAAAAAAGATGGTAATAATAAGTAGATATCATATCTTCTTCCCCTCTCTCGCTCATCCTGTTCTTCCCTTTTTGACCCTCTTCAATTAAATAATGACTATAATTAAGCGATGAAGGTTAGTCATTTATCGATGCGTCAAGTGAATGGTAGAATTGATAAAATAATGAAGCTAACAACATCAATAATTAAATTAATAAATACTTTCAGGATTTAATCGTGAGCTAATATCAATTAGAGAACTATTGGAATCCCAGACACAAGGATTACTAGAAACCCAGCTGTTTCGTCCGTCTAGTTTGGGATTCTTCACTGGTACACATCCGTCACGGGATTCAAACCCACGGCCTTCAAGTTACAAGGCAGGCAAGCTCATAAACCATTAAATCATTAGGACCGAACTCAATGGCGAACCGATGAAATCTAAGTCTTGCAAATTCACCACATAGCGCCACCAGTAGCCCGTGGTATTGGTGGCAAGTATTCCTCATCACACCCGACCTGTTTGTGGACCCCACCAGTCACGACTTCCCAATGGAACCCAAGCAACTACCTACCTGAATAAGACAAATCGTTAGTGAGCATGAGACTGATACTCAAGTGTTGGTGGTTTGTGGTTATTTTATTGGTCACATGTCAAGAGCTGCAAAACCCGTCCACTATCCCACTTGTAAGTTGTGAATTTCACATATAAGACCATCCTTATCACACAGAACGCTGACGAGCCGGCCCAATAGGGCATGGCTGAATATCGTCTTTTACAAAGACTTCTAGTCCTACCTGATGACATGCAAAAAGGGCAGAAGTGGGAATACAGGTGGAGAGTGTTGACAGTCGTCAGATAATATGGACTAAGACCATTTCTCACGTGAGTTAAGATGTCTGTCGACTATGATATTAACCAGCCGACTAAGTGACACGCCACTTGCCCTACTGAAAACCATCATTACCCTTCGCAATATGAAACAGTCATATTTGAGTACAAGACCAGGAAAGACTAGTTGGCGGGGGAGGGGGTGTTCGCAGTAAAGAGCAAGAGGTAAGATGGAAGGGTCAAGGAATACTAAAAGAAAAGGTTGAGTAATTCCAGACTGCCTTAACTTCAAAAAACCATAACAAGGTATATAATGCTTGACTTATTCTCTATGTCAGTATCCTCTAAGCTACAAGCATTCTCTGAAATAATACGTTCATTAAGATCAGGTCTATTCATGAAGGTGAAATTAACTCTCTAACAGCTTGAAAGATTTATCTGACGTAATACCACTTAGTTTAGACTACTGGCTAATGTCTGACGGAAAGTAATTCAATCTGGAACAGTTAGCTCTGGAAGGAATTAGCAACCAGAAAATAAGACCGTGAGCATATCTAACAGAGTTGATTTCTTTCGAAGGAGGTAACTCATGTAAAAGGAAAGAAAAATGAGGAAATTCGTGAACATCACCTTGAAGGACACTGGGTTCAGTAAACAAGGAAGAGAGAAATTCGCCTTTATATGCGGTATACTGCTTTCTGATTGAGAATTAACATTGCGACCAATTAACAGTCCAGTACTCAGTTGGTGTCGTGCAATGCTTATTTAACAAATGACATCTAAGAAGAGAGAGAGAGAGAAATGCGGATGTTTAGTCGAGGAAAGAACAGTGAACACACCTAACTACCTCGTAAAAGCAGAAAACAACGTTATGATGGACGGCAGGAGCAGTCCGAATTGTCATACACACTTCATGGACTGATGTCATGCTCTCATTTGACTACACCTAATTCATTGGCCAACGTGATTTTATGTTAAGGGACACTTCTTGATGTGAGGATGATGTCCTTCATACATTTATTCCCCTTTACGAACTTAAACAAAGCAGAAACAATAATTATTTTTTATTTTTGATTAGAGCTTGATTCACACTGCATTTTTGGTACTAGTATGGAATTTTCAGCATGGATATCGGTAGTCCGAAATTTTAGGCCGAGCATAGATATCACGTGTGCGTCGGCAGGGGATCGAACCTCGGACCATGTGCATGGTCGGCGAGAGTCCTAACCACTGTGCCACCGATGCACAGAATAACAGTATGAAGCCATCATTCATGTTAGTGTGATTCTCTTCAACTGCTGACAACCTAATAGTTTATTATTTAATAAATGTACACAGAATTTTGTCATCTTTGCAAAGGGCTCAACATGATTTCGGTTAATAAAATCATAAGACAATATATAGTGCTCAGCAGTTCCACTTTTCTAGCTTCTGAAAATGGGGTCAAAGTTCAAACAAACCCTGTGGGATGGAAGAGTTAACAAATTTTAAAAAGTAGACGTTAAGTGATTTCAAATTGTCTTTACTTTTCAGTATAGAAGGTGTTTAGACGGAGTATTGTGTTTCTTAGAAAACGACAAGATATGGAATGATGAAAAATGGTTTGGGTGGATAGAACTATAACAAGATGTTTATTAACTGATTTCAATTGATAAGACATACATACGGATGTTCATTACAGTACAGGTTTTGTATTTCTCAATGAATGAAAAAGAACAAAACGATATCGTTGTTTCTACTGACGTTTTGCTATTTAATGCTAATTGCTTTCTCAAAGTATTATTAAACCGTAATTTACAAATTGGATTTATATATATATATATATATATATATATATATTTGTGATCTTGTTATCTTTATACTCCTTTGTGTTTAAATCTTGTAAAACATGGAGGAAATTGATTGTTATATTGAAATAAATTTAATTTATTCACATTCATTCATTCATTCATTCGATTATTTATTTGACCACTTTTCGTTTTGACTATCATTTTTCCTTAAATTCTCCCCACTTCTCCACTTTTTTTTTCTATTCTCTAAAATTATTTCACATAAACCCTGAGAATAATTTATCAGTCTCACTTGAAAAGAAGAAAAATAACCAACAAAATCGTAGTTATTACTACTACTATTATTATTAGAAGTAGTAGTAGTAGTAGAGAAGTTAGTTGGAGATGGTAGATGATAAGTAGTAGGTGATTCGTAGGCACGAGGGGTGGGGAAGCAACGGACACAGTCAGTCTGCAATATTAGAAGTATGGATAAATGATACGAGAGGGGGGTGGGGATAAAAACGCAGAAACGGTAGAGTTCAGCAGTGCATGAATGAGTACGTTACAGTTTAGGACAAGATAAATAGATAAGTAAATGTATTCGTATTCATAAGAATAATAATAATATTGAGGACAAGGGATAAAATGGTTGAAAAAAGGAATAATGAAATCTAATAGAATGGGAGAGAGAGAGAGAGCGAGGGGAACAAATCTCTCAGCAATAACTTTCCAAAAAGTAATTCTCTACCCTTTGTAAATAGATAAAAACTTTGTGTGTGTGTGTGTGTCCAAGAAGTGAGAAAGATGTTATGGAGATAATTGAATTTGGGAATGTAGAACTCTTTGTATGCATTGAATATGCAAAAAAACCATTATATATATATATATATATATATATGTCATTAAGCCCCTCAGACCCAACCCAACGGCCAGTCCACGAACTCCAGCTTCTGCCAATTCGTGTTACACGCATAAGCCACAATCTTCAACCAGTATCACAGACGAGTGACTGTCCTCGTGCCTGTTGTGATGGATTCCACTAGTTACGACTACTCACTGGAATGACTCCAAGTAACTAACTTCTTGTATTTAAGGCAGTAACTAGTGAGCATCGAGCTAATTTCTGAAGAGTCTCAAACGAGGACGAAACAACTCCCCAGTAGCTCCTAAGGTTTATTTTCCAAACGTTTTTTAACCGACGTAACTGACAGTAACGAATTTAGTCGTGAACCGACATCATTTAGACAGGCCACTAAAACCAACCAAAGATCCCTGGATAAAAATATGTCGTCCTATTTTCAAGACTCTTCAACAGCTCGCACCCATGACGGATCAAACCTGTCAATCTTCAGATTACTAGGTCAACCTCGTTAATTATCCATCCAACCACTTGGGTTAGAATTCTTATCTCTGTCATTTTGTCATGCAACGCTACCCTACTCTACCCTACACTCTAGTTCGTCATTCATAGGGTCCACCGTGAGTCAAGGTGACATAGATGTTCCCCGAAAACACTGGTGAATGGAAATCTCTGTTACATGTATAAGTCAAATGTTTCCTTGTCCAACATTCAGATATTTCTAGACTTTGATGAAGCTGACTGCCAATTTAAAAGCGAACTCACAGTTAAAATCAATTAATTATTAGCGCATCCTTCATAGACGTATCCCGGTTGTGTTCGGAATATGATGGGTCGGGTTTGAGGACAAATACTCGTCGAAGACATTGGCTAGTGGTCGCGCTTTTTCGTGAATCGGTAGAATAATTACTCCAAAAACATATATCATTACTTTGTTATTTGTAGACGATTATAATTTAACACATTTTGTCATAAGCGTAAAACAGTAAAAACAAAAACGACTTACCGCTGTAATACCAGAACTTTCACCTAATCGTTTCAATGTTTCAATTTCAGCATCAATACGATCTAATTTAGCATTTACTGCAGGATCACGATCAGTCCAATCAGTGTCAACAGATGTCATTGTACCATTTCTTAGTGTACCATCTCGACTATCTAATCCAACTGACTGTACACCTGTCATACGTTTTTCACGACCTATAATACAATTCAAACAGTAATATGAATTACATTTAGTATATATCAATATTATTATGGGATAAAATTAAGCTAAAATAATGTTATTATAGAGCCTAATATTTACCACTAATTTATACGGGGTATTGTATGAGTATTGCTCATTAATCTAGGGACGTTGAATTCTCAGTTCTCGATCAAGGATCCTAACCTTGTTCCATCCATTCAGAATCGACTGATAGTTGCTGTCTTGTCATTGTGGTCGCGCTTGCATATCGCTATGATCCAGAGAGTTATAATGGCTGGCATAGATGTGACATCCGATTTGCTATCGATCAGTCAACGGTTTTACTACTCATCAGTTCATCCTGTCCTCTTTTATCACTGTGAGTGAGACATGGTAGCTATTGATAGTGGAAGACATGAAAAGACTGGCTAGCTGTCTTACGTCATAAGTGTCTGCGTTGTAATTCTCTTGTTGGGTGGTATGTGCAATAGGGTGAGTAATATTTAGGTGAAGCATCAGTCGAGATTATGAAGTTACATAGAGAATCCTGCGACGAAATGAATGATGGCCTCATATTATTCGGCACAAACATTTATTGTTTCTCCTCGCCTTCAATTCATAAAGGGGAGTAAATGTGTGTAGAGCATGTCTGTTGGGCATTATTATTTATATTATTATTGTTTCCTTTAATTCTTAGAGGAATATAGGGCTTCAGCCCCAACGTCTCCATTGCCTTCGGTTCACTGCTAAAGTTTTCACCTGGCTCCAGGTCTGATCACAAACTTTCATTTCCTCTTCACATGACTCCTCCAAGTCACCCTACACTGACGACCAACTCGCCGCTTCCCTTTCGGGTTCCACTCGAGGGTTGTCTAGTGATTTCACTTGATGGTTTCCTCAAATTGTGGCCAAACCAGCTCCATTTCTTCCTGCCTATTTGTTGCGCAATCGGTTCTTGCTGGGTTGGTTCATTGCCAGAGATCCCTGTCGCTGATCTTTTCTGACCGGCCAGTTGATCTTGAGTATTGAGCGGAGGCAGCTGTTGATGGTCTGAAGTTTGTTTGAGGTGCTCTTTATGACGCCCCAAGTCTCTTATCCGTATAGTGGCACTAACTTAACATCGAAGTTGAAAATCCGCATCTTACTTTCATTTTCATACTGAGTGCTGTTGACATCCATACAGACTTAAGAGTAATGAAAGCCTGCCTTGCTTTTCCGATTCTGGCTTTGATATACTCGTCAGTTCCGCCTGTAGTTGAAACGATGCTTCCCACGTCGGTGGGTAAAGGAGGTTGTTTCTTTCAGGTTCCTCCCACTTATGCTGATTGCTGTCTGGTGTTTTTGCTTTTGGTGTTGGCCAGGAATCTTCATCATCTCTGTTTTATCTATGTTCACCTGAAGTCCTATCTTTGATGCTTCTTCTGCCAGCTTATTGCTTTTTACTTGCATATCTTCCAGTTTGTAGGAAATCAGACATATATCATCGGCGAAGTCCAGATCCTCCAAGTTTTTCATAAGGGTCCATTTTATGCTTTTTACTCGCTGCCCACTTCTGTCGCATTATCCAATCTACCGCAATCAGGAAAATCATTGGTAATAGTAGGTAGCCTTGTCTTACTTCCGTCTTTATTGCGAAGGATTCCGTCAGTTTCCCGTCGTGTATTACTTAGCATGCGCGCTTTAAGACTGTCAAGCTACATTTACCCAATTACATAAAACTCTTATTTCTGTTGAGTTTCTTGTCATAAAGTTGTAGAACTTATTGTGTTATGCATACTCCAAGCTGTCACCATCCTCACATTAAGCAGTGTCCCCTAACACGTTGCCTAATGAATTGGGTGTAGTCAAATGAAAGCATGGCATAAATCCATGATGTGTATATGACAATTCGGACTGCAGTTGCTGCCGTTAACTGTAACGTTGTTTGCTTCTAGACAAGGTAGCTAGGTGTATTCGATTTTCTTTCCTCGACTTTACATCCGCTTTTCACCTTCTTTCCGGATGTCATTTGATAAATAAACATTGCATGACACCAAATGAGTCCTGAACTGTTAACTGATTTCACTCTTAATTCTAAAACAGAAAACAGTACTCTGTATTTAAAGGTAAATTTCCCTTTCCATGTTTACTAAAAACGGGATCCCTCAAGGTGCTGTTCACTCTTCTTCTCATTTTTCTTTCCTTTTACTTGAGTTGCTTCCTTCGGTAGAAACCAACTCTGTTAAATTTGCTTACGACCTTGCTGTCTCGTTGTCAAGTACTTTCTGAACCAGCTGTTGCGAACTGAATAGTTTTGTGTCCAACACTACCCAGTAGTCTAAATTGAGTGTTTTATGTCAAATAAATCCCCCTAAATGTCAGATAGTTAACTGTACTTTCAGGAATAAACCTTATCTTAACAAACTCATTAGTTCACACGGTCCTTGTAGCTTAAAGGGTACTCATATAGAGAATTGGTCATGCATTAAATACCTTAGTATTGTTCTATCCTCTTACCTTTCTTTTTCATCCCGTATCCTGTGTATTCCTAAGTAAATACTCAGTCTAATCACCTTCTACATTGATAAGCTTAGATCTTCTCGAAGAACTCAACCTCTACTCTTACTATTCGTTAACTCTTCCGTTTTACCTCTTCCTCTTTACCGCTGCCCTCAGTTCGGTGTTTCCTGGGCTACTACGACTTTCGACACCACTAACTACCAATCAGCGAATTATCCAATGAGATTCACGAAAGTAGTTCAATGTTGTAGAGCGCTTGATTCATTTCTAATGCGTGACCTTACAAGGTTACGGCTGCAATTTGAGGAGGTTAGTGTTTTCCAGTATTGCCTGGATTTAAATTGCTCCGGTAGGAGCGAACTTGTTCTTATGTTGGTATCATGACTTTAAAAAGCTATAGCAGATCAACTGGTGGGTTTCTTCATCGTTGTGCTATATGTTTGAAGCATGCTAATATTAGAGAGGGTAAGCTGATAATTTTAATATTTCGTGGGAAATGTTTCCGCTAGGTCACATCTCTCCCTAACCCAGATTTTGTATGTCTGCAATTACTGGGTGTTGAAATAGCCGGTGAGAGCAGCAGCTGCCGAGACTGAGAATAGTCTTGTCTCAACAGTTTAGTGGTACCAGCATTGCAGAGATATTGCTTCGTGTAAAATATAGAAAATCACTTGTTTGCTGTGTGGATCCCGTTACGAGGACTCATACGAATTCCACTGAAGGTTTTCGGGCCGCTTGAAAAACAATGTAAGGGCTATAAATGGATCTGAAAAGGATCTCATTTACAGCCATTCAGATGAATATAAGTACAGGATGTGCTGTGACTTCGCCATTGACAGTCACATGCTAAACTGGGGGATGTTTCTCCCACATATTCGAGAAAGATACTCCTTGTAACCGTGTTATCCTTCTTTATGCTTTTTTCTATAAATATGCGTTTCCATTCATCAATTATGTCTATTTAATATGATCGGTCCGTTCAAGGTCGTTTGCTGATTGGTTGCTAGTGGTGTCGAAAGTTTAACTTTGCCCTACGACTATAGAGAAGGGTAATAAAAGCTGTTATTAGGGCAAGTGGCGCACCACTTATTCAACTGGTTACCACCATAGTTAACAGACATCTAAGATCAACTGCGACACGGTCTAAATCCATATTGTCTGCCGACTCTCAACACTCTTCATGTCTATTGACAACTCTGCTCTCCTCGCATCTCATCAGATAAGACTAGAAGTTATTCTAAAAGATTAAATGCTCTCTCGTACAACCGAGTATATAACTCAACGATACCCTATTTGACTAATCCGCCAGCATTCAATGAGTAATTAGCATAAAAATTGGCTCAGTTATTCTCCTATATTTGTAATTTTATGCTAACACTTACCATCCCCATTATCTTATAATTTTATGTCAGTAATACTAATATTATTATTCTTTTCGATAATTTCCTCTTCTGGCTTTACAATTATATATGCATGTTTATATACATAGAATATTCTAGATTAGTAGTCAATAAAAATTTTAGTGGTTTTTCAATAATATTGATTTGTTAAGTAAGGTCAATGGAATTACAGTTCATTAAAGATGCATAAATTATAGTAATAATAATAATAATAAAAATATAATAGCAAATAGAATACCAACTAAAATTAGGAAAATTCCACAAAACTTCAGAATCATTCTAACCTAGATGGCCGAGAGGGTAAGGATGATTTCTGAACTAGCTTCTTTAAGAAGCACAAATTAGGCTTCTTAATGTGGATCCCAACAGCCAGCCTCAGCAATATTTAGTAAACGACCTCTCAAGGCGAAGTTAAGATTTGTTGGCTGGTATGCTGTAAATGACTTTGAAAGCCACCTTGTTAACATCAATTCTGTGTTCCGTATCCACAAGATAAGATAGAATAGCGCTACGAATAGATTTTGTTTGTCCTTTACTTAACCAACAATGCAGAGTGATGTTCAGAAATTCGACGAGAAACTCGCCTAATTCTGTGGCCTATGTAACTGGCTCCACAGCAGCAGTTAAATTGGTAGATACACATAGAAGAGGTGAAATTAGGCAGTTTATCCTTCACCCGAACGTAAAATAGGAGTAGTTTTTAAGACCGCATTGCTAAGGCTTTATATGTTAGCATCTCACTGATATTGTCCCCGAGGAACTGAATTTGTATGAATAAGGCATTTTTATGAACAGCATTGCTATCTTGGACTGCCTTGATTTTAGATTCATATTCTTATCACATCAACTTTTCTGGATAACAGTTGTTAGCCAGAAAAGTTTATTGATAGCAATATGAATCTAAAAAACATTTTATCTTTATTTGACATTTTGACCCTAATTTTTTCTTCAGCTAATGCCAAAGGCTGTTCATGTTATTCATTTTGATGAAGTGAACCCCTTAATTGGTTGTTCTGTTGGTGTTGGTTTTGTTGTCGTGGTGGTGATTCCAAAGTTTATAAGAATAATGTTGTACAAAAAGCTGAATATTCCAAACTGTTTTGGAATAAATAAAATTAATATTATTATTATAATTATTATTAATATTATCGTGCAAACTACCAACTTTGAAAAGCAGTCAATCGGTCAGTCAGATTCAGACATGTATTACTACTCATGAGTAATAAAAAAAAATACAGAAATTATATCACAACCTTCAAATCCAGCCTAGAAATTTCATAGTGTGAAATATTCCCATATCCCATGAATTAAAAGTCAATCTGAACGAAGAATATTCTTTTCAATAAGTTCTCCTCTTCAGGTTCTTACAATTATAAAAAATAATATTTGCTGTAGTTACAATAAAAATGGAAAGTTATGTGGTGCACAATTAGGCAGGTTCATCTATGGGTTCGAGAATATTTACCAGCTTGGTTCAGCTGGCGAGAAATTAAGTGCATAAAGAGCTCGATACTGTCACACTTGCTAGATACTGAACATCCCATCGATGTCAACACAGCTTTCAGAGCTATATAATGAGAACTCCGAAGTCGTCATCACGTATAGTTAGTCCACTTACGTCTCCTAAACAGAGATGAAGAAGCCGTTGCAATAAGATCGACTAAACCGGAACTTTGTATCCAAAATGAACACGTCCAGACGCTGTTCCCACTGTGGCCAAACTTGGATGAATGATTCTTCCCCTTAACCCTCTTAGTTTCTTGGGTCTCATTCTCTTTGCTTATTATTACAAATATTATTATTTGTCATAATTTATGCTCTTCATGGAAACATTCTCTGAATACTATCGAATTTTCCACTTACACTATCCGGACTTATTATTATTCACTTGTATTTTTTATTTATTTATTTTTTTTATTTTTGATTACAGCTTGATTCCACACCGTATTTTTGGTACGAGTATGGAATTTTCAGCATGGATATCGGTAGCCCAAATTTTGCAGGCCGACCATAGATATCAGGTGTGCGTCGGTGTGGACTCGAACCCCGGACCATGTGCATGGTCGGCGAGAGTCTTCTCAATATATGCCTCCACCTGTTTCATTTCACACATTCGTTATTCATCGTGGACCTCTCATTGCAATTTTGCTATCTCTTCCCCTCTTTATTACATACCACTTTGTACTAGCCACTCCACTCACCTGGCACCTTTTGTAACCTTGAACTCACTAACTTGTCAATTTTCCTACCCCACACTCTACAAATGTATTATGACCAATCGCCACAATTACTGTCTCCCATTTCATCGAAATATTTTGTAATCGATTTCAGCCTAGCACGACGTTTGTCACACAAATACAACTTTTTATTTTAACACCCCATTACTACTATTCCGTTATTCTACGTTAATAAAATGTATCCGTCGCATAATTGGCCATTATTATTGTAATGACAATAGTTAAATTATATTTTATGATTGTAAGAACCTGAAGAGGAGAAATTGTTATAAAGAATATTCTTCGTTCCTTTTGACTTTTAAGCCTACAAATGATTTAACTGATTTTGTTTATATACACTTACGTTTATCAATCATAACAACCGCAGGGGAAGGTGGAGCTGGAAAATCATAACGTTCTATAGCTGGCAAACTATTTGAATCAGGTAGACGTGCATTTGGATATGAAGCTAGACGTCGTGCTTCAGACCAATAAAGAGCTGCCGATGGTGGACTAGCTGTCCGATCAACTCGTGGACGGACAAGAGATTCCGCTAAATGAAAGTAAATAAATAAATGAAGACACTAAATACAATCATCGATGAAGCTAATTTGCAAAGTTTAAAAAACAAGAATTAATTTGAAGTCAATGGAATATTCAGATTTTAAGACGAAGAGTCGTCTTTTTCACCGTCTTCAGAGGATTTCCTGACTATGCATTGGCCGAGAAAGTTTCGACCGCTGTACAGGAAGCTGTACGACGAAAAGATTGATCGGCTTCCTGCGTTTAGACACCATAACAAGTCAGTTATGGTTGTCACTTACCTGTCAGATTCAAATAACAAGACAAGGTTCGTTGACCATTCGCTTACTTGGACCGGAATTCAATCACCCTTGAATTTTAACTATCACTGAGACAATAAGGTCAATAAATGGAACAATCACACTTAGACGTTTTTTCTCAAAATAGATTGTTACAAAAGCCGCTTCATTTAACAAACACACACATACATAAACACAAACACATTTAAGAAATCTGGAAAACAGTCTGTAAATGTGTATGCATACGTTAGCCTTAACAGCAGAAAAAATTTAAAAGTTCGAAATATTATTCCAGTAAGTATAATAAAAGCCCTGTCTATCTCCCTGTCTATTTTCAACATAGAACTACTTTGCACTGATGTGCAGCAGTTCAAGTCGCTACACTCCACGTCTTGTAGCACACAAAGCAAGAGACAAAAGTAACAGACAAACGCAAAATACAGACAGTAAACAGAGATATGAGACAAAAGAAATAATAATCACGAAGAAAAATATAGTTTCATTGTAAATAATAAGTAACAAGGAGTGGATGCATCTGCGCCAGACATTGAGAATTATTTTGAGTCATATAACCGATTGTCTCCAGCCATTGGTGTTTACCGTCCCGAGGAACCCAATCAGGAAGTCTACACTCCCCTAAGTGACTGGCTTAAACTAACTGTTGTGGATTCTATTGACTGATGAAGCAAAGTTTTGATTTGACAGCCGCTAGCTCTTTTCCAACCTGATAAATGCTATTTCAGCTGACTTTACCCGTCGAGGAAAGCATGCGATTGCTAAGCTACTATGCGTAACACATGTCCTAACCATCTCAGTCAATATAGCTTCACAGACTTGTCTATTGATTTCCCCTCTTTGCCTAGCACTTGACCAATGCCTAACCTCAATATTGCTCACCCTATTATACCATTTCACACGGGAGATAAAACGCAGGCCCCTATGATCAAAGACAGATGGCCAAGCTTTTCATGTCTTCCAATTTCAATGACCAGGTCTCCTCACAGCCATAAAAGAGGACACAGAGGACTTCTGAGCAGTACACTCACCCTTTGATCGATAGCCGGATATCACGATAATAAAGGCCTAACAAGTGAACACTTTTAGTAGACTGGTAGATAGATCAACAGACAGAGAATGCCAAGGTAAGCAGTAGCAACAACCAAACGAAATCGATTGATGAAAAGTTAGAAAAGTATTTACGGAGGGGGAAAATTTTCCCATTTTTGTTTTCGATATATTTTATAGTTTGAAAATCAAAAAAAGAATAAATAGTAAAGCATAAACTGATTTAAATCAAAACAAAACTGCTTTAACACTGTGGTGTGCAGTGTCGAACTGTTTATTGACCTCATTCAACAACTATACGACAATGCAAAGTGTCACATAATTCTCAACGGAAAACTCACCGGAGCCTTATAAGTGGAAACAGAAGAAAGACAAGGCCGCCTATTATCAACCCCTGATATTCTTAATTGATCTAGAAGAGGTTACGCAGCACAATGTACTTGAGGAGCAAGAAGATAGAAATACGCTGGAACGATAAGGAGAATCTAGAAGATATGGATTTCGAGGATGAATTGTGTCTGATGTTATACAAACTTGAAGAATTACAGGTGAAAACCAATAAACTGACTGAAGAAGCAACCACCAAAGACAGGAATTCAACAGAGCATAGAGAACACACAGGTGATGAAGATAACCTGCTAACAGGGACAAGAACAACTACAACCATTACTGTGACAAATTTGAAAGAGGTCACTTTCCTCAGTTATCTACGCAATAAGCATCGTCTCGACCACAGGCGACACCACTCATCAAAATGTCGGAGTCAAGCCAGAATCGGAACAGCAAAATACACTTTCATCAATCTTCTGTACTTCTCAGGATAAACAAAAGGTTCGGGTCTTCAACATCAATTTAAAAAGCCAGTCAGTCAGTTCTTCTATATCCGTCAGAAACTTGGCCGATGCATCCAGAAAAAACATTTCCAACAGCGTGCTGTAGAATTTTATTGAAATCTATCATCGCTGACTCCATATTTAAGATCGATTGGCCGGAAAGGAATAGCAATAAGCAACTCTGAGGACCAACCAAACAAGAAACTACTCCTCAAAAAATATGCAGGAGAGAATTATCAGATGTATTGGGCACACACCATTGAGGAGACCGTCGAATGACATCGCGCTCAATGCTGACCACTGCTCAAGTGGAAGGTGATTGAGAAGCGACGAGTGAGCTATTAGTGCGAGGATGAAACGGAGGAGATCGTGCGCGAGGGAGATGAGATGAGAGATTACGTGCGATTGTGTGCCCAGCTGAAGAGGGTAGCAGAAAATAGAATAAAGTGAAGATGTGTTTTTGAAATCCTGCTTTCGACTAGGAACCCAAAAGAATAATTATTAAATATATAAATAAGAAGTAAAAAATCAACAAAACTTAGTTGAGCGAACTAACTAACTAACTAGCTAACTAAATCACCAACCAAATAGGCAAGAATAATTTAGAAATCACTCGTTTTTGTCTAATTTCTGTGTCATAAACAACAAGCCGAATGAATGAATGAATAAACAAGAAAGAGAAGCACCATGTTAAGGATGCAGAGTTGAATCGGAGAAGGACAGAGAGAGAAATGTAAATTTTTTCTCAAATCTCCACATCGAAATGTGAGTGTATCTTTGTGTGTGTGTGTGTGTGTGCGTGAATGTGAATAAGTGATTGACTGAGTGTAAAGCCTCTAGAAGTATTCGAAATACGCTCACCCACACACACACCCACAGAGAGAGAAAAGTAACTGAGAAATTGGTCATTCACCGGATAATTACTTAACTGTTAACACAACTCGATAGTTAATTGGTTTTCACACTGACATTAACAACAGCAATGCCCACGACACATACACACACACACACGTCGACGAAAGGAAAGAAACATCAATCAATACCAAACCGATCATCTCAAAATAATACTTAAAAGTTAGATGAGAAGAGAAAATTTAAGTAGAGTAAGATTGTAACGACAGAAGACAAGGACCAGCCAACAGATCGTTTATTGAGAAAATCAACAGATATTTAGAGATTTGTATGTACATTATTGTCGGAAGAGAAGCAATTTCTTCTGATTGGTTGTTGTCTTTCTGAAGGTTATTCTGTACTGCTTGTGACCGTTTCTCAGAAAATTAAGCCATATATCTGCGAATCGTATTTGTACACGTTAAGTCTGCTATGATTGGTTGGTTAGTTCTTCAATATTAAGCTTTGTCATTGTCTTTTTTCTCATTACCCCGATTTGGAACGTAAACATTGACGTAAATTGTTATCTACAATTTCGGCTTGTTCACAGTCAGCTCTCACTACAAGATCTATCAGATTGGACACTAGGTAGATCGGTCGTTTGGGTCCAGAGTGAATTCTATCAAAGTCTTTTCTTGCAATATGTTCACCATGTTACGTGGCTCACCAACATGGTACACTCTAAGTTGTTGTAATTAGGTGGTTGAAGGTAATCGGTAGGAAGTTTCGGACACCTAGGCCTCATGATTATATATATATATATATCGTTTCAAAAATAGGATTTCAAAGCCAGCCAGTCAGGATCGAAAAAGCAAGGCATATCTCCATTATTCTGAATTTTCAGTGAGGAAACCTACTGTAATCATCATAATGATAAGAAGATCCATTTATTCAAACAATAATGTCACATCAGCAGTTCCATATGGTTCAAAGAATTGAAGTATCATTTAGAAGCATTTCCGGCAAGACTTTTCATCAACAGTTACCTTTCACTAGATCCTGAAGTTTAATAAAACTGGCAACGAACCAACTAGGAACCTAGTACACAGTATATGTGGAAATAAGTTGAACATAACCTAAGAAGACCGTTTAGTATCACGATACACCAGTATTATCTCAAAGTAGAGCCTGGAAGGGAAAGCGATAAAATTCCACATGCATTCGAGGGTGACATGAAGGCGACGGTTTGACGTAAAAATTGGAGACTTCCTGGCAACTATGGAGCCAGTTAAAAAGAAACGAATCTAAAAAAACATATTAAAATGAAGATAAAGATACTCCCTATGTTCCATTTGGAACCCAAGTGAAACCCAACCTAAGAAACATCCTCAGATACTGACTGTAGTACGTAAGCCATTTGTCTTCTCACATATTTTTCGGCAAACTAAGGTGCTCTGCTACTTAACCCGACTTGAGAGTAATCTCTAAATGTCACAAAGCATAAGAATCCATATAAATCAGTAATTTAAATTGTCAACAGGTCTGATCACAAGTTGACATCGTTTAAAGAACCGTTGGAAAACCCTTGCTAGAGTACTGCATACCTATTTTGTGCTTGTTTAGGACTCTTCATCAGAAATCACCCAGTCACATTTGAACCTAGAACACCTTCCAGTTGCGAGGCGAGTTCGTATACCATTAAGTCACTTAGACCCGTTCCAATGGCCAGTTCATGAATTACAACTTCTACCGATTGGCGGTTATTTTAGCGTGGCCACAAATCGACGTCATCGGTGGCGAGTATTTGTTCTTACTGCTGGCCAGGTGGACTCACCCACTGATGAGTAACTTCTCACTAGACCACGGACATCATTTCGACTAAGACAACCAGCGTTCACACATTAGACAGAGGGGACAACAAGAATGCCAGAGAAATTTTAGAAGCTTGGCTGGCATTCCAGTGAATCATCAATCAATAGACACATCGAGATAGACAAAATTTA